CTGTGGAACTCCAGTATCAAGTGGCCATATTGATGAGGCTGTGTCTTTAATGGTGACATACTGATACCTATTAGAAAGGTAGGATTTAAAATATGCAAGCGCATGGCCTCTTATACCATAGTGGTCAAGTTTGTGGAGTAGGATGCCGTGGTCTACTGTGTCAAACGCTTTTCTTAGGTCAGTAAAAATTCTTAGTGGATATTCCTTATTTTCCAATGCTGTGTAAAGCAGATCTAGCATTTTTATAATTGCATCATTAGTGCTTTTATTTTTCCTGAATCCAAATTGGCAGGGGTTGAGTATGTTTTGTGACGTTATAAATGAATATAGTCTCCTGTGCACGAGTTTCTCAAAGATTTTGGATAGCAATCGTATGTTTGATATTGGCCTATAGTTGTTTACGTCTGTAGGGTCACCACCTTTATGTATTGGTGTAACCCTTGCTGTCTTGAGTAGTTTCGGGAAAGTGCTAGTTTCTAGTGACTTGTTAAAAAGTAATGTAATAGCATGCGAAAGGACATGGGCCGCTCGCTTGTACAATAATGGTGGGACATGAGACAGATTCCCCGAGTTATTTTTAAGTGACTTTATGATCACGGTGACTTCCGTGGGCTCAGTTGGTACAAGATAGAAGGAATTTGGGAAATTCCCATCTAGGTAGTCCCCGGCACGGGCATTGGTACCTGGGATTTTACTGGCGAGATTAAATCCTATGTTTGAGAAGAAGTTGTTTATCTTGTTAGCTGTATCAGTGGGATGCAGTGGTGTTTCATGAGGTTTAGTTAGAACAATATTCTTGTTTTTTTTCAGTTTGTGGGTCCCCAGAATCTGGGAAAGTGTTTTCCAGGTATTTTTTATATCTCCTTTTGTGTCAGTGAATCTGCTGGAGTAGTACAGTTGTTTAGCTTTCTTTATTAATTTGGTGAGAACTGTTGAATATTGTTTAAGAATATCTTTGTGTATTAAGCCCTGTCTGTATTGCTTTTCATATCAGCATTTCTTATCAATGGATTTCAGAATGCTGCTGGTTAGCCATGGGCAACCAAGCTGTTTATTAGTGATCTTTTTCGTTTTTATAGGACAATGTTTGTTGTATAGTCTAAGTATTTTGTTAAGAAAAATGTCTGTCCAGTCGTCAATACCATTGGCATTGGAGAATTCTGTAGGCCAGTCAACAGTCTCTAGGTTTGCTGTGAGATTCCTTATTGAGGCCTCGTCATGGAGTCTAAATGAAACTTTGTATTTGAGTGGTGGCTTACTAATGTTTGTTAAGAGGAAGGTTGGGTAGTGGTCAGTAGTGCTGTCTGTGATTATCCCTGATTTAAGGGGGGCTTGTATATTGGTCCATATGTGGTCTATTATGGTGGACTTGTCTCAGTCAGCCTGGGTGGTTTAGTTATTGTTGGTATGAGAAGTGTGTTGTTCATATTGTTGATGAAATCAGTTACAGTCTGATCATGTGGTAGGCCAAGGTTGATATTGAAGTCTCCAGCTAAGAGAAGGTGGTGCTTGTTCATTTGTCTGTTTATTATTAGTGACTTTAGATTCTCACTGAAGTCTGGGATGTTTGTGTGGGGTATCCGGTATATGGCACAGATTGTTATAGGCGTCTTGAGGTTTTTTACAGTAAAATTAGGAAAAATGTATTCCCCATGTTCATCACTAAAGCAATTAGTGCTAATACAAGATAGTTGGTTAGAGTAATAGATTGCAGTACCACCCCCAACTTGGTATGGTCTGCAGTTGTGGATTGTTGTGTATTCTGGTATTGGGTAGATATCAGTTGTGTCCTGCTTAAGCCAGGTCTCAGTAAGAATAATGCAGGAGAAGGGTGTCTTTAGTGACTCAAGGAGCGCCAGGAGGTCGTCATAGTGTTTGCTTAAGGACCTGATGTTGTAGTTAAGAACTGATAGACTTTGAGCAGTGTTCAGGATAGTGCTGGCTTGTGATGCTGTGTAATAAAGGAAGTTACTCTTCCACCCAACCAATCACAGTAGGAGTCCCACAAGGAAGCGTCCTTGGACCACTCCTCTTTCTCATCTACATCAATGATCTACCGAATGCATCACAGCTACTCAAACCCATATTATTTGCAGATGACACTACATATGTCTTTTCCCACCCAAACACAGTCATACTAGCAAAGACAGTCAATGCTGAATTACAGAAAATATCTGCCTGGATGATGACTAACAAACTTACCCTGAACACTGATAAAACCTATTTAAATTCAGTTTGGAAACAAAGCTGCAAATGACCCAAATTTAAAACCTAACGCTAAATGGATCATCAGTCGCAAGACTCACAGAGGGAAAATTCCTAGGTATCCACCTTGACAGTAGCCTTAAGCTCCGGACACACATACAACAAATCACCAAGAAAATCTCCAAGACTGTAGGCATACTATCAAAGATAAGGTACTACGTTCCACAATCAGCTCTCCTGGCACTGTACCATTCACTGATATATCCTTATCTTACATATGGAATTTGTGCATGGGGATCAACAACATCCAATCACCTAAAATGCCTAATAACCCAGCAAAAGGCAGCAGTAAGAATGATAACAAATTCCCACTCCTGCCAGCATACTCCACCAATTTTCAAAAGTCTGAATCTGCTCACCAATAAGAACATCCATACTTATTCATGTGCCTACTACATACACAGAACAATACATGCAAATGTAAACCTAAGTGTGTTCACCTTAGGTTACTAATGAAAACTAATTCTTCTCTACCAAACTTACTACAGTATAGCCATATAGCATGAACTATTAGAATATTCAATTTTCTTGTAATCATTGTAACTCGCCCAATGACCATATGTTCAGTTATTACACTGATATTTCCTTGTTAATCTTAAGTTAGTCTCAAGTTTGCCTGAAATGCTCTGCATGTAATGGGGCTTTTGGCATGTACACCGAACTGTTACATGTACTTGTTTGTACAAAAACGTATCATGCCAAAATAAAAATTATTATTATTATGTTTGGGGGTTTTACCTCTTTTCCGCCGTTTTGTGCAGCAGTTGCGTAAGGGAAGGGCAGCTGGCACCATATTTTAGGGTAAGTTGTATCTACTGTGTATTTATTTTACTTCGTGTTTTTATGCCTAGCTGTGTTGATCACAATATATGCTAGTGTAAACACATTATCAGGCATTTTAGATGAATTTTATAATGAAAAACTGCTCTCTTCTACCCTGCAGCGATTTTCACGGGGTTTGGAACCTAAGAGTTGTACAGATGGTCCCTTCCTGTATATCAAAACTTTACTGTATTGTGTCATGTGTCTGTGATGTGTTTGACACTGCAGTACTGACCTCTTGACATTCTCTTCATCAGGTCATAAACTTTGTTACTTACTGTACAAGCTCCTATTTTCTTCTCATTGTTTCTATTTGTCTTGACAAAGGTGCAGCAGTCTGCACCAAACTTGTCTAAAATTAACATTTTCTTCAGTACTGTTAGAGGTTTATGCAAATTCTTCTTGGCATCTCTAGTATCACTAGTGTTCTTTTTGGGTGCCACAGTTTATTTCTAGAGATGTGATAATAGGATAAAAATATCCAAAATTGTTTGATAAACACACAAGAGTACAGTATGCAGTGCTCCCAGAAAGCAACTGTAGTGTGTTTGAGTGACAGTAAAGGAGTGGGAAAGTTGTGCCTCTACAAATGCTTCGCATTTAGGCATATCTTGATTGGTGAAATGTCTAGAATTTGCTGGTAACTTACTTCTATGCTTATTTAGTGTACTATCAAGGCTTTTTCAAGCCTGTGCCATGAAAGATGCACTTTTTTTTTATCTTGTTCTGACAGAGTTACTTTGTTGTGTCAGCTCTGAGAGAGTGAAATATTGTTTCTTCTGTTAACATAACTTTCAATGATGGAGTGAATATGAGTATATCAGATGTGTTGATATACTTGATATTACTGTTGTATATACCAAGTGTTAAGTATTATGTATGGATATGCTAAGTGTTTGTGTGTGGATGTAGATTATGCAAGTGAATATATGGGAAAAAATTTTGTGCATATACAAAGACTGACCGTAGTATTTTCTAAATGTTGTGTGTATATAATGGATCATGTAATGTGTATACTGCACATGGGTAGATCATGTTAATGCATATTTAAAAATGTATGTTACATTGTGTGTATATTAGGTTTATATATTTGATCTTACAGATATGGTACATCTGCCTTGGAGGAGGAAACAAGTTCAGCAACTTTACGCAGTTCGATGAAATTTTTGACTTACAGGAGCAGAGTGTTGTGAGAGGTGACTGCAAAACTCTTGTTGGTAAGTTGTATTATAGTGCAACTAACTCTGTGCTTGATAACTGTGGCTATTGTCAAGATGGTGGTGTCCTGTCTTCAGTGTTTAGTGTATTGAAGAGTTTGTTTCCACTGGACGTAACACTTGGTATTTGTGATTCACTTGATAGTGTCCTCAACTCACATACTGAATTTCTGTGACTTGTTAACCAACACAGATTGGGCATGTTTCCTTACCACTGCTGCTGCCCCATTTCACCTAGCAGTAAATGTCCGCCAGGGTGTTGTATTGCTGCTGCCTCTCCTCACCTAGCAGTAAGCGTCTGGGTGTTACTTGACTGTTGTACTGCTGCTGCCCCTCTTCACCTAGCAGTAAGTGTCTGGGTGTTACTTGACTGTTGTACTGCTGCTGCCTCTCTTCACTTAGCAGTAAGTGTCTGGGTGTTACTTGACTGTTGTACTGCTGCTGCCCCTCTTCACCTAGCAGTAAGTGTCTAGGTGTTACTTGACTGTTGTACTGCTGCTGCCCCTCTTCACCTAGCAGTAAGTGTCTGGGTGTTACTTGACTGTTGTACTGCTGCTGCCTCTCTTCACCTAGCAGTAAGTGTCTGGGTGTTACTTGACTGTTGTACTGCTGCTGCCTCTCTTCACTTAGCAGTAAGTGTCTGGGTGTTACTTGACTGTTGTACTGCTGCTGCCCCTCTTCACCTAGCAGTAAGTGTCTGGGTGTTACTTGACTGTTGTACTGCTGCTGCCTCTCTTCACCTAGCAGTAAGTGTCTGGGTTTACTTGACTGTTGTACTGCTGCTGCCTCTCTTCACCTAGCAGTAAGTGTCTGGGTGTTACTTGACTGTTGTACTGCTGCTGCCTCTCTTCACCTAGCAGTAAGTGTCTGGGTGTTACTTGACTGTTGTACTGCTGCTGCCTCTCTTCACCTAGCAGTAAGTGTCTGGGTGTTACTTGACTGTTGTGGTTTGCATCCTGGGGGAGGTTATTAACCCCTTCAGTGTCGGTCCTGTAAAATTACGGCTTTGAAGCCAGTGTCAATCCCGTAAAACAATGCCAAAATTTTAGCAGCTTCAAATCTTGCAGGAGAAAGCTGGTAGGTCTATATATGAGAGAATGGGTCTGCATGGTCAGTGTGCACAGAATAAAAAAAATCCTGCAGCAAGCAGTACATAATGAGAAAAAAATGCGACCATGTTTTTTGTTTAGAACTGCAAGTTTGCGGTGTATTTTCGTGTGGTATTTATGGTTGTATTCTCACTTTTTTGGTCTCATTTGATAGAATGGAAGATATATTACAGAAATACAGTGGAACCTCTACTTGCGAGCGTGTCTACGTGCGAGTTTTTCCAAATACGAGCAGTCGATGGGTCGATTTTTTGCTTCCATATGCGAGCAAAATTTCCACAAGCGAGCAGACCTCAAGGCAGGTTCCTTGACACTGGTGAAGGGCTCTTGCTCTTGATCTTGGGAATTGTATCTCATTTGTTTGTTGGACTATCTTATTGAAACTTGGGCAATGTATGATGGAAAGATGCTTCTTAACGTACACCAAAAATGAAAGAAATCTAAGCATAAATAATGGAGTTTACTTCTCAGCAATTAGCCACCCCTTAGTGGTAATTTAGAATGGTTTTATGGTTGTATTCTCGTTTTTTTGGTCTCATTTTATAGAATGGAAGATATATTACAGAAATAGATATGATTTTGATTGCTTTCACGATGAAAAGTACCTTGAAATAGAGCTCAACCTAGGAGAAATGGTCCATTGCTTGGCTGTTTCAGTGTAAACAAATGACATCACAGTAAATCTTATATTTTTTGTGTGAATAAAAATTACTGTAGGAGGGGTGTTAATGTTTTATAACTGTTGTGTAAGTGCACCTCTGGCAAGACAGTAATGGAGTGAATGATGGTGAAATTTTTTTCTTTTTTGGGCCACCCTACCTTGGTGAGAGGTGGCCAATGTGTTAATAATAAAATAATTAATTTATTTATTTATTTATTATTATTTGGAAATGATACATAGATACATAGTTATACAAAAGAAATACAGTGGTTGAGTGTACATGCCAAAAGCCCCTTGTATGTAGAGCATTGTGGGCAGGCTTAAAATTAACTTAAGATTAACTAAGCAACAATATATTCAGTGGTAATAATAATAGACAATGGACAGTGAGGTGAGATTTCAATGTACAGTACATCATTTTGCTTAAAGTTGTAGTTTGCAAGAATTTATTGGCAACATTAAGTGAGGACTTACTGTATATCACAAATTTAAAATTCTTTTTATTAAATTACTAAATACGTACCACCAGTATAATAAAACTTTGTATTCTTATTCTTGTATATTTGTTATCATAATTTAGTTTTAAGGCTGCCAGAAATACCTTGCATAACAAGAAGCTTGCTATAAAGTGCTTTATATATATTAGTCACCTTAATTGTGTAATGTACTGTATTCCACTTTACAGAAATAAAGTTTGTTTGTTTTGTTTGTATCTTAAGTTTTTACGGGATAATTGTACCTACGTTTTAACTGATTGTCCAGTAATATAACCTTGGATAATTGAAATCTGTGAATACTGACACCCACAAATGTTTAAGAATTATTTAACTGCCTTTTTTGTTTTTTGTTATGGTGTGTCTTGTACTGCGGCTGCTCTGTGAAGTCTCCTCTTGCTGCAAAACTCTAACTCTTCTCTCAGCATTTTATGTGTGTTCTTACTAATGAACAAAATGACACTGAAATTAATTAATTTTGTTCTTCTACAGACAAGTTGGGAAATGAAGAAGAAGACAAAGTGTCGGTGGTGTGTGATGTTGAGTCCATCTTCACTCAAATTACTGCAAGACCTCGACCACCTCAAGTATGAGTCATCGCTGATGTGGGCAGACATTGTCTTGCCTCTGCTGGCTGCTAAAATGCCCAGAGATCACATTTACATCTGCTTTGAGGAAGTTCTGGAAAAATACATACCCAGGTGTGAGGTTCTGTGCTACCTTGAAATATTCTTGAAATACAGTGGACCCTCGACCAACGATATTAATCCGTTCCTGAGAGCTCATTGTTAATCAAAATTATCGTTAGTCGAGTTAATTTTCCCCATTAGAAATAATGGAAATCAAATTAATCCATGCAAGACACCCAAAAGATTTGAAAAAAAAAATTTTTACCACATGAAATATTAATTTTAATACACACAAACTGAAGAAGACATGTACAATTACATGACACTTACCTTTGTTGAAGATCTGGTGATGATTGATGGGATGGGAGGAGGGGAGAGTGTGGATGGTGTTAGTGTTTAGAAAGGGAATCCCCTTCCATTAGGACTTGAGGTGTCAAGTCCTTTTCCGGGGTTACTTCCCGTCTTCTTTTAATGCCACTAGGACCAGCTTGAGAGTCACTGGACCTCTGTCGCACAACATATCTGTCCATAGAGGCCTGTACCTCCCGTTCCTTTATGACATTCCTAAAGTGTTTCACAACATTGTCAGTGTCACAATTAAACACTTGTTCAGGTTTCAATTCTTCACTGTTTATGTACTCCTTGAATTCCTGCACATATTTTTCAGCTGCTTTTTGGCCCGAACTGGCAGCCTCACCATGCCTTATCACACTATGTATGTCACTACGATTCTTAAATCTCTCAAACCAACCTTTGCTGGCCTTAAATTCACTCACATCACCACTAGTTGCAGGCATTTTTCTAATTAAATCGCCATGCAACTTCCTAGCCTTTTCACATATGATCGCTTGAGAGATGCTATCTCCTGCTATCTGTTTTTCGTTTATCCACACCAATAACAGTCTCTCAACATCTTCTATCAATTGCGATCTCAGTTTCGAAAACATAGTTGCACCTTTGGCAAGAACAGCTTCCTTGATTGCCGTTTTCTTGGCCACAATAGTAGCGATGGTTGATTGGGGTTTTGTGTACAACCTGGCCAACTCGGAGACACGCACTCCACTTTGATACTTAGCAATAATCTCTCTCTTCATATCCATAGTAATTCTCACCCTTTTTGCTGTAGGGTTGGCACTAGAAGCTTTCTTGGGGCCCATGGTGACTTATTTTGCAGGTGCAATCACTGAAAACACTGTGATAATATGAAATGTTCCGATTGTATGTTTGGATGGGACCGCGGTGGCTGGCTGGCTTGTAAACACTGGCCACAAGTGGACACATCTCGAATGGAATGAATCGTGTTGGTCGAGTTTTTTAGCGCTAGCCGAGGCAAAATTTTTGCGTTAAAATGTATCGCTAGTCGGATTTAACGTTAGACGATGCCATCGTTGGTCGAGGGTCCACTGTACAGTAGAACCCCCGTGTCCACTGATTCAGTATCCATGGTTTCAGTTATTCATGGTTTGCTGTGGCCCAAAAATACCTTTTAATTTTGCATAATAATGGCCCCAGAGCCCAAAAGTAGAGAAGATGCCAGTTCTTCATATCCTAAGAGAAGCTGTGAAATGCTTCCCATCACTGAAAAAGTGATAATTTTCCACTTACTGTGCATAATTTATCAATTCAATTGTTTAATAGGTATGTATAGGACTTATATATAAAGTTTGCTACTATCCACAGTTTTGGTGTCCACGGTGGGTTCTTGGAACATGTTACCCGCGGATACGGGGGTCCTACTGTATATACCCAGGTGTGAGGTTCTGTCGTTCTTTTAGTGTAAATATTCTTGAAATATATACCCAGGTGTGAGGTTCTGGGGTTCTTTTAGTGTAAATATTCTTGAAATACATACCCAGGTGTGAGGTTCTGGGGTTTAGTTTAAATATATTAGTTTTATTGTTCTTGATATGTGTATGAGGTAGTTCCTTTAGTTTGTTCTTGATGTTCAGTACAATACTGTACCTGTCCCTGTACAATACTGTACCTGTCCCTGTACAATACTATACCTGTTGTCACTGTACAATACTGTACCTGTTGTCCCTGTACAATACTGTACCTGTTGTCCCTGTACAATACTGTACCTGTTGTCCCTGTACAATACTGTACC